CTTTCGAACCAGAATATACAACAAACTCACCGATTGATTGAATGATATAACTTACTGAAACATCTGACCGCTCAGTAGGAATCCACACAGCTCCGTCAACAACCAAACGAACCGAGTCAACTGCATAATCACCCGAATTCACAACAAGAATGCCAGTCTGAGCAATATCTTCGCCCTCGGCTACTACATATCCGTTAATCGTAACGGGGCCAAGGGCCGCACTAGGGTAAAAGAGCACCTTCGAGGATAGCATCCTCAGTAGTCTGCCAGCTGGCAAGAACGCGCTCGATGTAAGACTCAGACTGACAAGCTTCGATTATCGTATTAGTCACAGAATTTCCAACCAAGAACGATGTCGAAACCTTGAGACCTTGAGCTGTCTTACGCGAGAAAATGACAGCAACACCTTGAGCATACGTATCAGTAGAAGTGTTCGCAAAAGACAAAGCTGTATAATCGTTATCTGGATTAAACCAATCTGGCAATGCAACAGTAGAAGTAGAGTCAACTTCATACTGAGCAATATTCCAATCTGCACCTTGAAGTCCGCTAGGAACGTCAATCGAAGGCATATTCGAAGCAGTCGCGCCAACAGCAGTTATATGAACAATAGTCATAATGTCGCCCTCCATCAGACCCATTGACTGCTTAATAGCGGTCCAAAATGCGCCCCAAGTAGTTATACTCGAACCGGAACCAGGAGTAGAAAGTCGCCAAACATTAGTTGTACTAGTCAGAGAAAGCGCAACTGGTTCGAGCGAACCGCAAGCCATCTGCCAATTTCCCAATGCTGGATAAAGAATAGACTGACTTGCTTGCTTCGAAATGCGAACAGACGAATTCAAATTATGCTTCATAAAGGCATTGTAATCAGACTCGTTAGCAGCTTTGTCTTCGAAAGCAAACTTAAACAATCTCTGAACTCCTTTAGTGTGAAACTTAACCACATTGCTGAACAAACTGCGCTGGCGCATCTGACCTTGCGAACGTGGGTTATTAGGTCTACGATTTCGAGCGCGACCAGTCTGCTGTCCATTAACTCGGGAAAACACGACATCGCCGACAGCACCACGAGCGTAACCGAGGAACATATTACCTTTCATACTCTCTATATATATATAAGGTGTTAAACAATCAGACAGCAGAACTGCCCATTAATAAACTCGACCGCAAAGGTAAACAATCACAG